GCTTTCGATGAGCCCCAATGCTGCGCCTGCGATGGCAGCAAAGGAGCTGGAAGGGAGCTGCATCCTAGGTTTGTGCTCTGAGCAGCAGTGGCTCTCACCCTCCATCAGCTCGTCGTGGCCCAGGAGGCCCGCCGGAGGCGGCTCCGCCTCATGCATTGCATGCGCAATCTGGATCAACAGATCAAAGGCGGTGGCCCGCGTTTGCTTGTTGCGCTCCTTCACGCATAGAATTATCTCGGACACCATGGAGGCAACCATCTGGACCAAGGGTCACAGGGATGGGAGCAGGCAGGTGCCAGGGTGAGAACAGTGGAAAGGGGAGCAATGGAAGCGGCTGGCAAAGGGCAATGCCATCATTGCAGCCAATGTGCAAGCCAGCGTGACAGCACCTGCTTGGTGGCCTCGTCCCTGCTAGCCGTGTTCTCGCCCGCCTCCAGCTCCGGCCCATCTGGGAGTGCCATGGCTACAACCGTGGCCTTGAGGCAACGCAGGCGGTTGCGCTTGGCGGCAGAGAGAGACGCAGGCTGGGCGTCAGCCAGCGCTGCGACCACCTCCTGGAAGTGGTTCTCCAAAAAGTCAGAGCGTTGCTCGCACAGGTAGGCCAGCACCTTGTAGCACTTCTTCTGCACCGACGCCTCCTTCTCCTGCTGCCAGAACAAGGGTTTGAGCCACAGCAATCAGCGTGGCAGGCAAATACAGGCAGGTATTACAGAAGGTCCCGGCGCCAAATCACCATGTACAAGGCCGTCACCACAGCCCATGACTCTTCCCACCCCTGCCGCAACCCCTCAATTCAGACGTGCCTGGATGCCCGGACGTGCAGCCTTGTACAATGTCTCTAGCCCCTCCGCATCCAGCCCGCCAGCTAGTGCCAGGCACAGCTCCAAGAAGGCGGCACGTCGCTCGGCATCACTGTCACCTCCCTCCAGCACAGCGCCCTGTCCCAGCTCCCCAGTCTGTGCCTGCTCCGTCACCTGCAGGAGTGGAACCACCGCAAGCAAGACACAGCTCAGCACCCTGGGGCAAGTATTCCAATACAGTGCATTCCGTACAAACTTCAAAGATGGGCACTGCCGCCTCCCATCCCACCTTGATGAGCTTTGTGACCGCGGCACGAAAGAACTGTGCAGCGGTAGCGGGGTCGCAGCAGCAAGCGTAAGCACTGATGGCCCTCTCCAGCTGCGCACACTGCACCGTAGGTGTGGCCAGGAAGGCGTTGAGCAGCAGCGTCATCCAATTTTTCGCCAGCGACTGCAGCACCGCCATATTCCTGCAAAAGACCCGGGGCGCACCAAGCAACCAAAACAGCCAACATGGAGTAGGCAATTGGAAGTCCCTGCGGATTGGAAGTCCCTGCAGAAACGCTGCCAGGCCAAAGGCCTATACTTCACCAGCACCCCCTCACCCACCCACACACCCAACCCGCTGACACAGGCGGCAACTCACTGGCGTGCCATCTCTGGTGAGTAGCCCTCCGGGATGTCCAGGTGCACCTGCTCCTCTGGGCTGCCCGTTGGCACGTCTTCTTCACTGCTGGCAAAGGGGTCGGCGTAGCCCACTGGCTCCCCCGCCTCTGCCAGCACTGCCCTGTTCTGTGTGCACAGCCGGTGCAGCGCCTGGCAGATGGTCACCCGCAGATCGGGCCGCTTCTCAAAGGCCGCCGCCAGCAGCTTGGCGTACTGCCTGCACGCAGCATGACACCAGGGGCATGCGGGACCATGAATTTGATGTGCTCGCCTGCTCCATTAACAAGGCAAGGCCAAGTGGGATGACATGCACACGATTCGTTGCCAAGCATGTAAGCCATGCACAGCCTGAAGCTCACCTAAAAGCATCCGCCGTGTCCTGCGTCCAGCTGCAGAAGGAGGGCAGCGTGTCCCACATTTGCATCTCCAGAGCGCTGCACACTTGCGCCTCGCGTGTGTTGGATGGGTTGCTGCAGGAATATGGGGAGGAGGGAGTACAAGTGTGTTAAAGAGCTTTCACTATGATTCGCTTGAGGCAGCCCGATGCACATGCCGGGAAGGTAGATAGCAAGCAACAGGCAGGAAGACGGTGGCAGCATAGCAGCACTGCCCACCTGGCGGCTGTCGCTGCCCTGGAACCCAGCTCGCGCGCCATAGGCAGCAACACCTTGCCCCAGTAGCCCAGCCGAGCGCCACGCACGTGCATGCGCAGCAGCGGCAGCAACCAGGTGCGCGCCTCAGCGGTGCCTGCCAACCCCTCAGCCAGGTTGAGTGGCAGCGCCGCCAGCACCGTTTCGGGGCCCAGGGAACGCATGGCGGCACCAAGAGCATTCTGCGCTGCCAGCACCAGCGCATCATTTATCGCTGCGTGGCCCGCAGCCGCCGCCTCGTCACCTCCAGCACACAGCTCGCCGATGCGCTGCAGCAGGCCAGCAGCCAGCGGTGCACCGTGGCTGCCCAACTTCTCAATCATCTCCGTGCACACTGCAGCAGGGGCCACGCAGGGCAAACGTCGAGTAGCATCCTGTCGGCACCTGCCAATGGCAGCAGCTGCAAGCAAGTTCCTGCCCTCCGATGAGGGATGGGCTGTTCCGCAGCACGCATTGCCACTGCTACTCTCTTGCATCCCCTGACCTCACCTGGCAGGCAGCCACTCCATGCATCCTGATAATGTGGCCCCAGCGAGCTCTCCAGTGCCGCCAGCACACTATGCAGCGGCGAAGGCTGCTTGCCGCCACTGCCGCCTGCAAGTGCTGCGTCCACTGCTGCCTCACTCACGAACTCATTGATAATGTTCTTCAGGCACATGCCTGCTGCATACCGCACATTCTCATGCGCCATGGCCAACTGTGGCACCAGCGTGTGGACGGCACGTGGAAGGCGCTCCATGGCGGCGTCTGGCTCCACAGTGGCAAGCCGGCAGAAGCCATCTTCTAGTAGGCGGATGGCAGCGACGGTGGTGTCGGCGTCGCGCCGCTCCCACAGCTGCTCACTGCCCAGCACAGCGCCCAGCAGCTCTGACAAACCCTTGGCTGGCAGATGGGCCCCCGGGGCGGCGCACAACACGGTCAGCACATCAGTAGCGTGGCGAGACAGCAACGGCTGGCGTAGCTGGTACAGCTTGAGCAGCAGGTCGCAGATGGCGGCGGCGACCGAGCCTGCATCGTCAAGCAGGGTTAGAGCTGGATCAGAGATGTGAAGCGAAGAGGTGGGCGCGGCAAAGACGCAGGATGGTTCGCAGGGGATGGATGCATGGTCACTTCAAGACAGACAGGCAGTCCACAAGCCAGCATGTAACTAACTGGCAAAATACACTAATCAACGAAAACAGTTTGCACCATTGCAACGTGCGGCACAGCAAGCAGGTGCTGCGCTTCAGGCAGGCCAGCAGCAAAGATCGGAAGCACAGCAGAAACATGCACCTGTCAGCAGCGCAATCCACAGCTTCAGCGCCCCCAGCAAGTGTAGCGCGTCGGCAACCGCCGCCGCAATCGCTTCCTCTGCCTGCTGCCGCTTCTTGCCGGGCGCCGATGCTGCCGCGTGTGCTGCGGCTTCTGGGCCTGGCAGCACATGCTGGCTGAGCTTCAGGACGGAGTCACTGGCCTGTACCAGGGCTGCATGCGACGACTGCAGCCCTGCCAGGATGTCGCTGATGGCAGACTGCGCGGTGCGCCGTACTTTGGCACGCCCATCCAGGCTCAGGCTGCAGGCAGGCACCAGCAACTTGGAGTGGTCAATTTCGAGGTCTGACCACTAAACAGTGGTGGGCAGTGGCAACCTGAACCGTGGCTGGTGTGTATTAAAGCTGACAGAAGTGCCTATCCAACCACCTCTGCAGTAGGGTGAAGGGCCGGACTGCCGAGGGCCAGTCAGCATGGTTGACAGCTGCGAGCAGCTGGCCCAGGCAGGGCACCGCGTTCTTAACCACCGCAACGTCACCCTGCATAGGGGCAGGGGACGAGCAAGGCAATGCAGCAGGCTGGGGGAAGCAGGGGGGGGGGGGGGGGGGGGGCTC